TGTACGGCCGAGGATGAGGCTGAGGCGGAGGCTGATATCCAGCAAGGATCCGTTCCATTGCTTCCAGCCGGGCCCTCGTTTCTTCATCATTCTTTCGTTGCTGTTCAAATGCACGCTGCTGCTCTTCCAATTCTCGCTGCAATTGGGCAATGCGTGGATCCTCTCCTCGCCTAGATTGAGAAGATGATGAAGCTTCGCTGCCGCTGCGATCGTACAAAATACGTTGCCCCTCAGCCCCGAGGCATGGAAGCCGACCCTTGCACACCCCTGTTGCCTCAAGGATGGCATCATCTTCCACATCAGAACCGATGTCATCTTCTTGAGTCAAGCCAAGTTCCGCCCGCTTCTTTTCAACATTTGCGTTATACTTTGTCTACAAACGTTTAAAAAAATTATTCAAATGATATTTACTTCAATTTGAAATAATAGTATTGATTTTGAAATAATAGTATTGATGTTACATACTTCGATTTCAGCAAGGCTGGGTGGTAGATTGGCTGGCGACTCAACACCACTCTTCGTCCAACAGTGTTTGATTACACTGAGGATAGGGACCCTCTTCTTTTGAGGCCCCGCCTACAAGGTTAGAAAAAGGTTTAAATAAATGTAAAAAAATAAAAGGTTAAAATGGTGTAGGTTTATTTGAATAAGACTTACAAGAGCTTCTTTATGTTTACTCTGGGGTTTGCGGCCTCCGTGCCATTGTGTCGTCAATGCCTTCTCGGACATCCGATTTTTCTTCCCGGCTTCGCTTCTAGCCAAGAAAGTCGGATCCGAAGACCAGTGGCGGACGAGGTTTTCCCATACCTCATCCGAACACCATTGAGGCCTTACCCCACTGGCTCGGGCACGCCTAAAAGTGAGGCGAAGCCAGTTTGAAACTCTGGCATTGTACGCCCTTAGAATAGCGGGGCCTTGTTCTTCAGTCCAGCGAAACCGGGCCTTTATTAAAAAAATAAATTAACTTATCATTTGTCAAATTTTATGTTACATCAATGACGAAAATTTGATTTTTTTACCTTGAACAAGTTCCACCAAAGTTCACGGACCTTAGGATCAACATCCGTGTACGTCGCCCAGTTGCCAAGAAAGTGTCCACCAATTATGATTTTGATTTGGTTGAGCACATCTTGATCGCTTCAAAAAATTAATTTTTTTTTATAGTTCATTAAAAAAAGTATTTAATTATTTGACATTAGATAAAATTATTTGACATTAGATAAAGTTCATAGTTACTTACTTAGCAACCATGTGAGGTGTCACCCATTCGGAATCTTCATTGTTGCGCTCGGCTTGGGTTAAGGGCGCATAGTTCGGGCGAGCACGGGATGTGGATTGTTCATTGCTCATCTAAAATAATTGATTAATGAGGAGTATTAATTTACATTTTCAAATAATTGTGTAAATATAATAGAAGATCAAATTTTGATTTAAATAAAGGCAGTTTTTTAAAGGCAGTTTTTTAAAAGCAGTTTTTTTTAAAAGCAGTTTTTTATAAAGCAGTTTTTTATAAAACAGTTTTTTATAAAACAGTTTTTTATAAAACAGTTTTTTATAAAACAGTTTTTTATAAAACAGTTTTTTATAAAACAGTTTTTTATAAAACAGTTTTTTATTTTTTATAAAACAGTTTTTTAAGAACTGTTTTTTAAGAGCTGTTTTTTATGTCTACCTCAACATTTTATAATTATTAACATGTTAAACTTTTTTGGAAGTTTGACATGAGGGGGTATTTTGTTTAATTACTTCGGGAAACTTTTTAATTAAAACGGCTTTATTTATTAAACAGTGTGATGGATAGTCTACCCGGGGGTATATATCCGAAGGGTTACTACGGGGAGTAACTTAGAGAGAAGTCAGAGCAAGTAAGTAAGAGAGAGAGTGTATATTCGGTATGTATTAAGCGTGGTTACAAATGGGGAAATGGGGTGCTATTTATAGTAGCAATAAATGCCGGGTAGGGACACGTGTCAGGCGCTCATTGGCTGAGGGGTCACCTCTACTGGTTGGCGCTGGCAGCCGCATGTGGCCGCATTTAATGCGGCTGTTGGATGGGACGTCTGTGCAGAGTACGGTGATCTGTACGCATGTGAAGCGGATATCTTGTCGAGTGAGATGCCTTCGGCTATAGAGCAGTAGCCGAGGGATCTCCCTCCCGATGGCACCCCTGGTGCCGAGGGCTTACAGTGCCGAGGGCTGCTGTTTTCGCCGTTTTCTCCCAGTTTCTTAGTTTGCTTGGGAAACCCGCTCTGTGACAATTTGGAGCCTTCGGCCAGGGGGCCGAAGGCACCCCTGTGCGTTGTGCGGACTGCTTGGTACTCTGGGCGCTGTGATTTGGGCCTGTTGGGCCTGTTGGGCCTTTGGTGGAGTGGTAGGAGTCTGTGGGCCGGGGGTTCCCGGGCCATATACTCCATCAGGAGTCCCTCACTCCTTTTGCCGAAAGGTACTTGAGGGAAAAGGAGTAACTTGCGCTTGCCCTTTGATGTTGTCCCATCGTGATGCCTGAAGTTTGGTGAGGATTTGTTGTTTTTAGGTCCCTGCCGAAGGCAGTCCCTCAGTTACCCACATGTCGGGACTTGAGGGCTTGCTTTGTTGTTTGTTGGAATTTCACAGATTTTGTAATTTAATGATTTTCCCGAAGGGGTCCTCCAGTCCCCCACTCCTTGAGGCACTTGTAAAGTGGTGAAAAGGAGTGAAGTAGTTATGTTGCTGTTGTGGGCCAAAGGCTGACGCTTTTCGTTTCATTTTGGGGGGATGCCTCGTTAAAAACCTCATTAGGAAAAACCCTTTGGGAAAAAATCCTAATGAGGGAAAAAGAGTGCACCGAATTCCCCCAATGATGAAGCGAAAATGTCAAACCTTGGCAAAAAATGGAGAATGGCGGGAATGCCGAAGGCTCTCTCTTCTGAGGGCTCCTGTGTTGATTAGCCGAAGGCTTTCTGTTGATGTCCTGGTGGTGCCGAAGGGGAGCCCCTCAATCCAGGGACCGAGGGCCTGCCAGATGAGGGCAGCAGTGAAGTTGTTACCGGGGGGCCCACTGTTTGTTGATGAGTTGGTGATGAAGATACCCGAGGGCTCCCATTACCTGTGTGCCATGGGCCATCCGTCAATGAGGCACTCCCCGGGGGCTACCCGGTTTTGTAGTGCTGAGGGGGAATCCCCGAGGGGGTGTCCTGATATGAAGCCCTGGGTCTCTGAAGGAGTGATCCCGAAGGCGTCTGTTATGTGCTGTGTGGGGCGCAACCCGGGGGCACTTCTGAGTGATTGTACCCGGAGGCTGTCTTTGATGAAGTGGAGTGAAGTAGAAAACCCGGGGGCTTCCAGAATATAGCCGTTGGAAATATAGCCGTTGGAATACGTAACGACGGGATATAGCCGTAGGGGGGATGGCACACGTGGCGTGTGATGGCTGGTTGTTCGTGGGCGGCGTCACCGGTTGGGTGAAACGACGGCGCGTAATGATGGCGTCCATCCGGAGGCCCGGAACCCAGGCCCAAGCCCGGATTCCAGCGCCTATAAATACCCCAAGGCCAGGCATTCCTCCGTGTGCGATAAACTTGTTAGTGAAGCTCTGTCAATTTTTCTAGAGAGAGAAAGTTCAGCCTTCGGTCCAAAACTCAGCTTTCGAGGTCAGTGCTCCCTGCCTTTCTCCTCCTAGCATAGCTGTACTGTGCCCTTAGTTTAGGAGATAGAAAAGTTAGGAAACACTACCGTCTACGAGCCCTCGAACAAGAAAGCGAATGTCGTCCCAGAGTGACTCTCAGGACATCTCGGGGACGCCCTCGATGGAGGACGAAGGCATCTCCGATGTGGAGTCAAGCAGTGATCAGCCCTCGGATTGTGGTGATGCAGCCCTCGCCACTGAGGTGCAGAAAGATCTGACGGCTGAGGCCGAGGCGGAGGAATTCGAGCGAACTGCCGAGGATGAAGAGTTGGCCCTCGCCGTCCAAGTTGCTGAAGAGGAGGAGGAGAAGGAGAGGGCGAAGGTCACTGTGGCCGTCCTTCCCCCTCGGGGTGCTGGTGAGGCCAGTACTTCCCAGCCGCTGAACGCGGTTCCCATCCGGGTGGCCCCCGGGAAGAAGAAGGCCAAGGCGGCTGTCCCTAAGAAGAAGGTCATAGCTGCTGATCAGGGGAAGCCCGTAGATATGCCGGAGGGGTATTCCTGGCTCAACACGGCTGCCCTGGAAATAAAGTCGAAGGCGGACAGGGCAGACCTCTACGTGACGCAGCTACATGTAGGGCCCTCGGCCGAGGTGGTCGAGCCGGAAGTTGACGATGTGCTCTCTCGGGCGCCCGAAGGGAGCATTGCAGTACACGTGCTGTCGGTATCCATGGGCCTTCGGTTCCCGCTGCACCCCTTCCTCCGGGAGTACCTGAGGTTCGTCGGCTTGGTGCCCTGCCAGCTGACACCTAATAGCCATTCCTACGTGGCGGGTTTCCTAAATCTCTGTAGGGACCGAGGGGTGACCCCCAGCCTGGACTTGTTCTTCCAGAGCTTCAACCTCTGTCGAGGGGGTCACGCGAATGCGGAGGGCTTCGCCAACCTGCAGCAGGTGGCCAGGTGGAAGCTGTTTACGGAGGCGCCTTCGTCAAACAAGGGCTGGAAGGAGCGCTGGTGCTATGTCAGGGTTGCTGAGAACCCATTCCCGGCGGAACTTCGGGATCGCTTCCGTCGGCATCCGAAGGTTGGAAGCGCCGCCCTCGAAAAAGACGGCCTGGTGATAGCAAAAATTCCGGAGGGTCGCACCAAGCAGGTCTCCATTAAAGACTATACTGCCGACAAGGGATTCTACGCCCTCGGCTTTCGCAGATACCGGTCTATTGGTGAAGCGGATGAGAAGTACCCCGTTTTTGCTGAGGCCTTCGAGGGGACGGGAGGTAGTCTACAAGGTCCCTTAGCACATAGCTTATCCTGTTCGTTTTTTTTTTTTTTTTTTTGTTCTTTGTGCCTTCGGTCAGCGTCCCCTCGATTCTAACCCCATTCCTTTGTTTCTTCGCAGGTGTCCCAGTGAAAATGATGAATGTTAGAGGCCTTGCAGACTTGAAGAAGAAGAAACCCTCCAAGGGCCCGAGGGGGACGGACGCCGGTGTCCCAAAACCCGCCGGTGACTTCTTCAAAAAACCGGAGGGGCCGTCGGCGGGCCCAAGCGCTGATGCTGCTGCTGCCGCCAAAAGGAAGAGCTCGGGCAGAGATCCCGAGGGCAAGAAGCCCAAGACCGGGGATACCGGGAAGAAATCCCCCCCGGTGATCATTGTTGATGAAGGCCCTGCCCCCGGGCCAGATGAGGACATGCAGGTGGGGAAGGTGTCGTCGGGAGTTCAGGGGCCATCTTCCGAGGTCCTCATGGTTTCCCTCCCGGCTGGTACGGCCGTGATGAATGGTACCGCCGACCCGAGGGCGCTTCTGCGAGGCATCACCCTCGAGATTGACAGGGTTGCCCTCGGGGCTGATGAAGACGAAGCCCTCGAGGACAGGATCCTCCGGTCCTCCCTTACAGTAAGTCTTTCACGCCTATTTCATTCCGTTTTACTTGGAGCTTAGAAACCATATTTGGCCTTGCTAACCCCTTTGTTTTTGTAGACCTGCATTGCCCTCGGGGAGCAAGCCCGGCGGCTAGAGGAGTGGCGCCTTCGCAAGGCCGAGCAGGAGGCCAAGATGCGGGAGCTCATCCGCCAGAATGCAGACGCTGTGCGGCAGATGGCCATGCTGGAGGAGAGCCTTCGGCAGATGACCCTGCGAGCGGAGGCCGCGGATCGGGGTAGGGCAGAAGCCGAGAGGTCCGCAGCTGAGGCCTTGGAGAAGGCTGCCAAGGAAGCCGAGGCCGCGAAGGTTGAAGCCGTCGAGAGAGCCCGGGAGGACGCAATCTCGGGGTTCTTGGCAGGGGGATGGCGGTCCGAGGAGCACAAGCAATGGCTGTCCTCGGTCGTCGAGTCCTCGGTCGACGAGTGGTGCGATGGGCCTGGCGTGGAGTGGGTTTCCCGAAAGGGTAAACAATACTACGATGGGGGCGAGTTCTTCACTCAAGCCCTCATCTATCGGAGGATGGCTCGCCACTTGAAGATCGAGCCAAAGGACTTTGACCCGGCAGCATACGGGCTCCCCCCCTGCAGCCAGACATCCGCGTTCCCCTTCCCCCCGATGTCGAGAGGCCAGACCTAGAGGACTCTGAGCTCATGAAGGAAGCCGAGGGCGACGAACCTGAGGCCGACGCAGAAGTGACCTCGAAGCCATCGGGGGAGGCGGCCCCCGGGAGTAACATGATTTGATATGTACTTTTTATCACGTAAACATACATTTGTAATGATGACATTATTTATCCCTCGGCTTCGGCCTGCTTGTAATAGTAACATCGCAATTACACTTGCTTTCTTTTTGATGATTGAATGATCGCCTTCGGGCTTTGTATATATGACTTGTTCCCTTCGATTCCTTTATTCTTGGATGTATGCCTTCGGCATTTTTGAATGTATGTGTTTGTTCCTTTGAATGTATGTCTTAGGATTTAGAATACTATCTGATTGTAGCTAGCCCTTGGGAACCTTCGGTAGTTGGGCACCCTCTGCTGGACATACAACCGATGGTTCGACAGCAATTAGGACTTAGAATTTTTTTTTCTAAGTGTAGCACAGCATGAGGCCTTCGGGCGTTTGTAGTAACCCACCTCCTAGGACTTAGAAAAATCTCTAAGTGTAGATTCCCCCTTGAGAGCCTTCGGGATATGGCGCCCATTCCTTATGTGTGAATGTTGGACCGAGGGCCCAATGCACAGGACTTAGAGATTTTTGGAAGTGTAGTATGCCATGTAGCCTTCGGCTACTATGGAGCCCCACCTGTAATATTGAATAGGCCGGGGGCTAATTCTTTTAGGACTTAGAAGATTTCCTTGAGTGTTGATTCCTTGTGAACTGTAGCCCTCGATTGATAGGTAGCCTTCAGCAATTAGGTCCCTCGAGATGAGGGGGAAATATGTAGGACTTAGAAAATCTTCTAAGTGTAGAGTTTCCCTTGGGAGCCTTCGGGAGATGGCATCCCTTCATGATGTATGAGTAGTTGACCGGGGGGGAATATGCAGGACTTAGAAAATTCTTCTAAGTGCAAAATCTCCCTTGGGAGCCTTCGGGAAATGGAATCCCTCCTTGATGTATGGCCTTCGGCTGTCACACTCCTCTAGCTGCAATACTAATTGAGCCGGGGGCCCATCTTTAGGACATAGAAATTTTCTTTGTTTGCAAGTGTTGTTTGTATTGCATAGCCTTCGGCCACCATATTCCCTTGGCTGTAATATTGATTGGGCCGGGGGCCCAATCTTTAGGGCTTAGAATTTTTTTTCAAGTGCTGCTTCCCTGTGTAGCCTTCGGGTGACCGGGGGCTGCTCCTTCAGGACATCAATGTTTCTAAGCATAAATTGATGTTGAATCCTGTTGTTGTGAAGAAAGCCATTGAGGAGTGTGTGCCCTCGGCATACACTTCAAAAGTTGTAGAATTTGACCCTTGTCATGGGACCTTTGTTTGAGTGGTATCCTTCGGGAAATATGAGCCTTCAGTAACCGGGGGTGTTCCCGTGGGGAGCCCTCGGTTTGTTGTGATCTGTTGGAGTGTACTCTTTGATTTCTCGCTGAGTCTACTCCCCTTCACCCCTTTTTTTTTTTTTTTTTTTTTTTTTTTTTTTTTGGTTGGTGGTGAAGGAAAGGCATCAAGAAACTTGGTTTCTTGGTAAGGCTGGGCCTATTAGGAGACCATCAGAATACACCAATGGCTCTCCTCCCTCGGGTTAACCTTCCGAGTGCCGAGGGGATCGAGGGACGTTTCCTGGGCACAAGATATGGTGGTCCGTAACCTGCCTCCCCTTGGGGGATGGCGCGGAAAGCGCCTCATTTTTGAAAGTCGTCCCCTCGGCGCTAGACATAGTCTGTGGCCTGCCACACCCTTGGGGTGGTGGCGCGGGGAGCGTTTCGGTTTGGAAGTCGAATCCTGGGCATTTCTCATGCCTGTCATACCCTGTGGGTAATGACGCGGATAGCGTTCCGTTTTTGAAAGTCGAATCCTGGGCATTTCTCATGCCTGTCATACCCTGGGGGTAGTGACGCGGAAAGCGTTTCAAGGAAGGGTTTTCATTTGCACACTAGTTACAAATGGCCGGGGGCACTACGTGCCGCCGGCACCGATGGTGGCGCCTTCGGTATATGCGTCCTCGTGGGGTACGGCTTTAGAAACAACACTTGGTGTTAGTTTCGATGTGTAGCCCCCGGTACTTGGTACCGAGGGGTCTTCTGTTGGAACACTTGGTGTTCTGTAGGAACACTTGGTGTTCTCTTTTATCGTAGTTGATGGAGGTGCCTACCCTCGGTACTTGGTACCGAAGGGTCTTCAAATGAAACACTTGGTGTTTCCCGACAAATGTTTGGAAGTTGATAGGAGAGTATATCCCTGGCACTGGGTGCCGAGGGGTCTTCTGTAGGAACACTTGGTGTTCTCATCTCTTCTTTTTTGGTGTTGAAGGTGGGGATGTGCCCTCGGCACTGGGTGCCGAAGGGAAATGAATTACATGGCGTTCTTTGTTGTTGGTGATAGGAGTTCCCTCCCTTGGTACTTGGTGCCGAGGGGTCTTGACTGAAAACACGTGGTGTTTTCACTGATGTTGTAGGTGTTGAGGCCTGGGGCCTGTAGTCAGTATGAAGGCTTGATGTCTTGAATGTATCTTCATTCTTCGAAATTGGAGGCCTTGGGCCATAGGATGGTACATTCACTAGTTATGAGGGCTTGGCCGCTCTTACATTATTGATAAAATTTAACTAAATGGTGTACATTCCAGTGCCTAGGGACTTCTTTCCCATTGGGGCGTTTGAGCTTGTAGGTCCCGGGTTTGATGATGGCTGCTATGATGTAGGGGCCTTCGAATTTTGGTGCCATTTTTCCTCCCTCGGTTGGTTGGCTGGCTTCCCTCCTCCGGAGGACATAGTCCCCCACTTGAAATTCCCGGGTCCGAACTTTGGCGTCGATGTAGCTTTTAACTTGCCTTCGGTAGTTTTCTGCCCGGATGAAGGCCTGCTCCCGGCGTTCTGAAATGAGGTGCAGGTCGAGGGCCATGTTGCTGTCGTTGACCTCGGGGTCATATTGGATCACCCTTCGGGTAGGAAAGGTGACTTCCGTAGGAGCTTTGGCTTCGAAACCGTAGCAGAGGGAGAAGGGTGTTTCACCTGTAGCTCGCCGAGGGGTGGTGCGGTAAGCCCAAAGAATGTTGTGAAGTTCTTCTACCCAGCCACCGCCCTCGGCCTCCAGCTTCTTTTTGAGGCCCTCGAGCAAGGTCCGGTTGGCGTTCTCTACTTGCCCGTTGCCTTGAGGGTAGGCAACGGAGGAGAAGGTGTGTTTGATGCCCCATGCCTCCAGAAGGGCACAGAAGGGGGCTGCCTCAAATTGTGTCCCATTGTCGGAGATGATCTGCTGGGGGACGCCAAACCTTGTGAGGATGTTCTTGAGGACGAAGTGACGGCATTTTGCCTCCGTGATGCTGGCGAGGGGTTCAGCCTCCACCCATTTGGTGAAGTAATCGACGGCCACAATGATGTACCTGTTGTTGGAGGTACCCCTCGGCAGAGGGCCCACAAGGTCTATCCCCCATCGAGAAAAAGGGACAGATGTGCTGATGGGGGCATAGTTGACAGCTGGCCTACCGGGGGCTTTCTGGAAATGTTGACACGCGGTGCACCTCCGGGCAAGATCAGCACAATCCCTGGCCATGGTTGGCCAGAAGTAACCCTGGAGAATGAGCCTTCGGGACATGGAGAAGGGTCCCTGGTGAGCTGAGCAAGTGCCACTGTGTACTTCCTCCATTGCGACCTCGGCTTCATCTGGATGAAGGCACCGAAGTAGCGTGCCATTGTAAGATCGTTTGTAGAGCCTCCCATCTTCGATGGTGTAGCTGGGAGCCCTCAGCTTTGCCAGTTTAGCGCGGGCCTCATTCTCGGGTAGCTGCCCTGTGGAGATGAAGGCGGTGATATCTGAGATCCAATCCTCTTGACGTTGTTGTATGTTCATCACGGGGCTTGCATGGATGCTTGAGAGGCTGAGTTCCTCGATTTTGGCAATTTTGGAGATGTGCTCGGGGGAATCTGCCGAGAGCTTAGATAAAATGTCGGCCTCGGAGTTCTGAGCCCTCGGTATTTGGGTGAGAGAGTGTGCCTCAAATACCCTAAGCAACTCCTTGGCCGCCTCTTTGTACTGCTTCATTCTGCCCTCCTTGGCCTCATATTCTTCGGAGATTTGGCCAACGACCAACTTGGAGTCGCACTTGATGTGGATCTGCCGAGCCCTCATGTTGGCAGCCAGCCGAAGGCCACATAGGAGGGCCTCATATTCGGCCTCGTTGTTGGAGACCTTGAAGGAGAAGCGGATTGCATAGTAGGCCCTGAAGCCCTCGGGCGTAATGAGGACTACCCCTCCTCCGCATGCTTTGGTCGCGGAGGAGCCATCAGTGTAGAGGGTCCACCAGTCGTCCGAGGCAGCCGAGGGCTCCCCGTCCGTGGCTGCCCTTGCGGTACATTCCGTCACAAAATCCGCTAGGGCTTGGCCCTTGATGGCAGGCCTTGGACGGATGTCAATGTTGTACTGGCTCAAGAAGATAGCCCATTTAACCATGCGGGAGGAGCTGGTGGGGCTCCTCATGAGGGCGCCGAGGGGTTGATGAGTGAGGACCTGAACTGGGTGAGCCTGAAAGTAGTGGCCCAACTTCTTGACAGTCCAAACGATGGCCAACACCGTTTTTTCCACAGGGGAGTACCTGAGCTCGGCCTCCCTTAGGGTCTTGCTAACGTAGAAGATGGCATGTTGGATGCCGTCTTCCTCCCGGATGAGCACAGAGCTGATGGCCGCCGGGCTAACCCCAAGGTAGAGGTAGAGGGTCTCCCCTACCTTGGGTTTGGAGAGCACAGGAGGTGAAGATAGATATCTTTTGAGCTCGTCGAAAGCCCCCTGGCATTCTGGAGTCCATAGGAAGTCAGCCGTCTTCCTCATGATCTGGAAGAAGGGTAGAGACTTTTCCGCTGATTTAGATAGGAAGCGGTTGAGGGCTGCCAGGCGGCCCGTCAACCGTTGAACCTCCTTTACGTTGCGTGGGGGCTCCATGTTGATGATGGCCTGGATCTTCTCGGGATTGGCCTCAATACCCCTTCGGCTCACCATGTAGCCTAAGAATTTGCCCCCTTGGACGCCGAAGGTGCACTTCTTCGGGTTTAGCCGAAGGTTGAATTTTTGCATGATGGCGACGATTTCCCGGAGGTCGTCAGCATGGCTGGAAGATTGCTTGCTCTTGACGATCATGTCGTCGACATAGGCCTCCATGGTGCGCCCTAGGACGGCTTGAAAGACCCGGGCCACCATCCGGGTGTAAGTGGCCCCCGAGTTCTTTAGGCCGAAGGCCATCA